TTGATTTGCGGGATCTTGAATTACTTTACAGAATTAGTATGGTTAGTGGTATGGAGGTGCAGACTTTTCTACCTAGTGCGGAAGGTCGTGGGAGCATACCCTGCGAGAAAATTTGTATAAGTGAGACATGTTAGTCACTTGATTGTTAAGGATTGTCAAGTATGGAGATTCTGGTAGTATCACTAATGTGATAGTTTATGCTGAAAGGCGCTCTATTCCTTTGGTTGTGGACTATGGGAGTTTGTTACGGATTGGACGGATGCTCGTATGTATCATGAATAGGGCCTTTGTGGATCCTTGAAAGGTTGTTGGCCCAGTATGGTATGATTAGAATCGGGTTGAGGTCAGTTGGTGGGTCTAATGTGAATGTGTACTCTACGTCAGGTCGGATGTGTTCATTCGTCATAGCATTGCTACGGAGGAGTCATCGGGCATTGGATGTTATTCCCGTCGTCAGCTATTTCGTGTAATCTCTATTGTGCCATGTGCGTTGTGATACGGCTTGATTATTCGCACACGTATTGAGGTCCCATGTATCTTGTGGTGTTATGTTAGCAGGATGGCTCTCGAGATGCAGGTCATTTATTGCACCTTAGTTGTGCTTGGGTTTCGTAGCATATGACGCTATCCATCTCCCCAGGATTTGTCTTATGCACTTGGCGCGCTTGTGGTCGATATACGGGCATTTTGTAAGTATAAGCATTACGGCTTTATGTGTGTTTTCTTCTTGATTGTTATGTGCGGATCGGGTGGCACGCCACCACGGATATATTGTTTGGATTGGGTGGCACGCCACCATGGGCATGTTATGTGGATCAGGTTTCATGCCGCAACAGTGAGATATTGAGCATAAATCCTTGCCCTTATTTTTGTGTGCCTTGTTTTTCATCCCTGAGGTAGGTTCATAACATCTCTTCAGGCGTTTTCTTCGTTACGCAAGCCGGGTAGTTCTTTTTCCAGAGTTCATTTTTCTTTGTGTATCACATTTGAGTTTGTAGCTTGTTGGCGCTTTGATGGCATCATATGAGATTTTGGACGGTGTTTGAGGTGGTTTATTGCCCGAGCAGCTTGTACTGGGTGAGACGAGGTTATTGGACCTGGGATTAGTGCAATCAAATTTATATCAGGTATATTTAAGAGAAAATATTGTTATTCAGTTTAGAATGAGGTAATGGTCCTTGTCAGGAGGAGAGACTCTATGATTTGTTGATTTGGCAGGGGGTTATTAGTTTCTACACATCTCTGCCGTCGTAGAAGTATTTCGAAGGTTGGAACAGGACTTATATGCGTCATGAGATGTATTGCGGGCATCAGATTCGTGAAATTCTAGCTAGTGTGGTCAGAGAATGTTATTATGGGCTACCGACTTATGTGGTGTAGGGTGTGATTTCAACATAGGTACAGTGTGTGTTGATTGATACGGTGTTCGTGTGTTAGAATCAGGTCTTGTAAAGAAATTCGGAAGTTGGAATTTGGTTCTAAAGCTTGTTAGCTAAGGTTATAGGGAAGATCTTCAGTTTGGCTCGAGCTAATGTGCTCTACTGGGTTGTGGAGGCACATGCAGGTGCTCGAGGTGTTAAACAGTGACTTTGGACTACTCTGGAGCAGTTCTTAGCACGTTCGAGGATGAACGTATGTTTAAGTGGGGGAGAATGAAATGACCTGACCGGTCATTTTGAGCTCTAGTGCGTCGTTCAGCGGTTTGAGGCCTTGAGTAGCTTCACTTCAGGTATTATGACTTGTACGTGTGGTCGGAATTGAATTTCGGGAAGTTCGGGATTGATTTGGAAAGAAAATTCTAATTTCGGAAGCTTTAAGTTGGACGAATTGACTAAGGTTTGACTTTTTAGTAAACGATCTCGAAATCGGGATTTGAAGGTTCCAACAGGTTCATATGATGATTTCGGACTTGGGCATATGTTCGGGTTGAGTATCGGATCACCCAGGAACATTTCGGCATTTATCATGGAAAGTTAACATTTTGAAAGTTTAAGAATTTCCTAAGTTTGGTTTGGAGTGGGTTTTGGTGTTATCGATGTCCGTTTGGGATTCCGAGACTTGGAATAGGTTCGTATCGTGATTTGTGACCTATGCACAAAGTTTGGCGTCATTCCGGAATGTTTTGATATGAATCGGACGCGTTCATTGATGTTTAAAGGTTTGGAAGTTTAAAGAAGGGTTTTGATCATCGATCCATAGTTTTGATGTTATTTGGCATGATTTGAGGCCTCGACTAAGTTCGTAATGTGTTTTGGGATGCGTTGGTATAATTGGTTAAGGTCCCGAGGGCCTCGAGTGGATTTCGGACGGTTAACGGATCGATTTTAGGTCTTAAGGAAAGCTGGAGGATTCAGGTTGATGGTGCAACCGCTTTTGCGGAGGCTTCATCGCAAAAGCGAGGTAGTGGACTGCAGAAGCGGCTAGAAGGGAACTGGGTAGAGGCCGCAGGTGCGAAGGAATTCCCGCACTTGCGTGACCGCAGAAGCGGCTAGGAGTGAAATGGCTGAGGTCGCAGGTGTGAAAAAATTCACACACCTGCATGATTGCATATGCGACCAATGGAGCATAGGTGCGGACCTTGCTAGGGAGGCTGGGACCGCAGATGCGGTCGAATTCCATAGAAGCGGAACTGTACCTGCGGATGAAACACCGCAGAAGCAAAGGCGCAAAAGCGCTCGAGGGGCCGCAGATGCGAAGGTTGAGGGGCCTAAGGGGAGCCGCAGAAGTGGGCTTTGGGCCGTAGAAGCGGCTAATGTTCCGCAAATACGAAAATGTCGTTGGGCAGAGAACTTGGTTTTATACGGGATTTGGCCCATTTTCTTTCATTTTCACTTGGTTGGGGCAATTTTTTGAGAGCTTCAAGGGGGAGATTTTTATCAAGCAACTCAAGGTAAGTGATTCCCACCTATTATAAGTTAAATGCATGGTTTGTATATGGATTTAAACATGGGAATTAGTAGAAATTTAAGATTGTGGTAGAAAACCGAAAATTTGGTATTTTTGGATTTTGACCACGAAATTGGACAAGGAATTTGGAATAAGTTATATATTTTAGTTCGTGATATTATGGGTAAAGTTTATCTTCGAAATTATTCGGAATCCGGGCACGTGGGCCCGAGGGTTGTCTTTGTTGGCTTTTTGAGCGGAATTGGGAATCATTATAAATTGTTAGAGTATACGTATTGGGGTATATTTTGATTGGTTTGCATGTTGATTGACTAGTTTTGAAGAGACGGGCATCGGGTTGAGATGTTTGAGTGGCGTTGGAGCCGGTTATGAAACTTCGGAGCGAGGTAAGTCTCTTGTCTAACCTTGTGAGGGGAAAACTACCCCTAGGTGATATTTATTGTTATGTGCAACTAGTTGTGGTTGCTACGTACGCACGAGGTGATGAGAGTCCGTATGTAGCTAAAACATGTTTATGTCTGGGTAGACTTAGGACATTATCATGTAATAATTGAATTATTTGAATTCGTTCTGCTGGCTTAATTAATTAAAGTTATATCTGAATTTGATTTAGAAATAAATATATGTATAATAGGCCGAGCCTTAACACTTTGAGTTGTGGGCGATTTATGTCACGACCCAATTTCATAATAGGCCGTGATGGCGCCTAACGCCGCCGCTAGGGAAACCAACTGTCAACAAAGGAAAAGATATATGATATAGAGAATATTAATATAACTTCACATTATTTTTAGAAACCCCTAGGTCCTTCGTGAAGCTAGCTAGAAGTTCTTGACTCCAACTAAATTCTGTGCATTTGTTAATTTTTTTTTTTAACCGCACTTATGATGAGAGGGAATATGTCAAAAAGGGCAAAATCTGGAACTGCATTTTGAATTTACTTTAGATCTGCAGGAAAAATACGTTGCTGATGAATATCCTACTCACGATGCATGTGCTTCAATAGTTTAATGCCACCGACAGTACAAAGTATTGTCGGGTCGGGTTGGGACTGTATAAAACGGACTGGGATAGTTCAGGATAAATTTAGGGTTATGTTGCTAAAGAAATATTCTTCCCAAATCCATCATAAAAAGTTGAAATATTTGAGAGAGATGGGGTGGAATTGGATGGAGTCAATTCGGTTGAGACAAGTCCTCAACGAAGCAGTTAGTCTGGGAATGATTGTTACATCAGCAGTAATAATATGGATAAGTGGGAGTGAGTTACCAGTGGTGGTTGTGCTTTCAGGAAGTATGGAACCTGGGTTTAAAAGGGGTGACATTCTGTTCTTGCACATGACTAATGATCCCATTCGTGCCGGAGAAATTGTTGTGTTTAATGTCGATGGAGGTGAAATTCCTATTGTTCATCGAGTAATCAAGGTTCATGTGCAGCACGAAACTGGAAATGTTAATGTCCTTACAAAAGGAGACAACAATTTGAAGGATGACAAACTTCTCTATGCTCCTGGACAAAGCTGGCTGCAAAGGCATCACATCATGGGGAGAGCAGTTGGATTCTTGCCTTATGCTGGCTGGGTGACCATTATCATCACTGAAAACCCTATCGTCAAGTATTTAATCATAGCTGCGCTGGGATTGTTTGTTATCACATCAAAGACCATGGCTTCCAGCTTCTAATTGAACTGTATCCCCTTTTTTTATTTTATATAGAAATGTCTTTGTACACCTTATCAAAGCCAAGCATACTTTTCCATTTCCTAATCCAGAACAAAATAATCACATTGAAGCAAAAAGTTTGAGTAAAATACTTTTTGCTTAACCATAATACTAAGAGCACAGCAACACCTAATGTCTAGTCTTAAACCAAAATTATAATCAAAGGATGATATTGAAAAACAAGCGTGTGTTCCTTCGTCACCCTCTAGCGTGCCGAAATTGTGAAAAGCATAATTTAAGATATGCACGGATGTTCCGTGAAATAGGAGGCTCAAGTGGTTCATCCGCTTATTCAAGGGATATTCTAAGAGGAAAGATAGCCCAGGCTTCGACAACTCCAGCATCAGCGGCATGGGAAATGACTCTTTGACATAGCTGAAATTGAAGTTCAGTCTATATATCAAGTTACTTGGACTATGTAAAAGTTCCAGCTCACATATAAGTTCAGCCGATCAAGGATTATACAATGGAGTTATTTGGCAATAATAGGATTCAGTCCTTCACCTAGAATTAGATATGAATTAAAGCCTCTCGCTTGAGGCTTTCAACAAAATTACATGCACAGTATGATTCAATTTGACATAGAGGATACTGCTGCACTACCTTTTTCCTTCCCAATAGGTTGAGGCTCTGGATAAACACAAAAATATGGAGAGTTAGATAGCGAAATTGGAGGCATGATCAGAACTTCAACAAAGATGCAATAGCTACATGTGATCTTAGCCAATGCAATAGCTTGGACGCCGATAAATGAATTTCTGCTGCAAAGATTAGTAATTGCATAAAACAGATGGCCGCCACATGACTAACATATATATGAAAAACAGATAGGTGAACTTTCCTTTCTTTTTGGACACAAGGGTTTTCTAACATAGAGGCAAAGGATATAGGATAGAGGTTATGATATGATGCAATTTATGAAGAGATGGAGTTTTACCTCCCAAACCTAAGTTGGTAGTCTCGATTCTTACCGAAGTGAATCTAACTCATGAAAGTACATTGTGGTAATATTTCTACATCACACTGATTGCTTGAGCTCTCCCAAAAAGCCAAAGGGTGGATGTCAATACAGCCACAGTGGTTAAAACTATTAAAAAAATGTTTTAGTTTTCCCCACTTCCCAGTTGGTGGCTTGAACCCCCAACCTCAAGGTTGGAGGTGGAGGGCTCTTTCTTTACGTTTTAATGAATTAATTGACCACCTATGGCTTAGCTATAGTAGGGGTGTCAAATGGGCGGGTTGGGCCGGTTTTGGACGGGTGACAATAGGTTGAGTTAATAATTGGGCGGGTCAAATAACCCGCCCAAAAGTTACTTGGACTAAGATGGATTTGGTCAAAATGGGCTAAAATTTGGGTCATAGCCCAAGCCGCCCAACTCTTATCAAGCTTTGCTTAATATGTGTTGTTTTTATTATGAATTGTATAATTACATAATAAGACTTTATTTTTCTTTTGTTATGGTCATATATAACATATCAAAAAAAAAAAATTCTAAAAAGCCTAACTTTAAATGGGTTGAGATGGGTTGAGTCAAGATGGGCTACAACAATAACACAACGACGACCCAGTAAAATCCCACAAAGTGGAGTTTGGGGAGGGTACTGTGTACGCAGCCCTTACCCCTACTGCGATGGTGCAGAGAGGCTGTTTTTGATAGACCCTCAGCTCAGGGAGCCGGAAAGAAAACATGAAGAGACAATATATCAGTGTCGTCAACAGAAACCATAGAAATAGTAGCATCATAAAAACTATAAAATAGATGACATGCAATAACAATAACCAATAATGGGTCAAGATGGGCTAAGTTCAATAAATGAGCAGGTCAATAACGAGCCCAACCTTGGGCGGGTTGGGCGGGTCATTTGGGCTTGGGCCAAATTTGACAGCCCTAACCTATAGCATGCCACTCTTCTGTTTAAGCTGCCCAATGATCATGTTATTTGTTCTAATACATTGTAAATGATATCTACATGGTTCTCACATGTCCGGTTAATGTTTATCATACTTCTAAGGTTTTGAATGATGCCAGTCTTTAGTAGATAATATGACATTATTTTGCTTCACTCCATCAGTTTATATTACATGAAAAGGTAAGCTCAAGTGGTCTGTCTCTGGGGATGAACTATGATAAAAGAAAAGAGAAAAGAAGGCAACCTTGTAATTCCGGTCAGAAACAGAGCTTGTAGGAGCATCAGAATATCTGAAATTTGATTGATCAATCCTACCCATTGTTTGGAAACAGTAAGAAGAGAAATCTTGAAACTTACCCCCTCTTTAATTTGTCTTACAAGCAGAAAGAGAAATGAAAAGAGTACAACAAAAAAGAACTTTTCTAGGGCTGCAGATTGTAAGTTAAATCAGAATGAAAGGGAGTCATTTTTTCCTTCCCCTCCCTGCTTCATTTGAATTCAAAAGCGAATAGAAATATATTTCCTTCACTCTACCAACCATTCTGGTATCTCTTATTTCCTTCTTTTCTCCTCCCTCCCTTCTTTTGAAACAATGGATTACTTTCTATGCTGCTGTATATATTAGTTCTCCAATACAGATTAGCATGGTTCTGTCTCTTAATATCCATTGTAGACAGAAAAAGAGAAAGAGATTTAAGTTATGACGAAGGTCACATCTCAAGTTCATATAAAAGAGAAGACATTTTCCTCAACAACATTAGCACTACAAAAACCAATGGTTAATAGTGTTTAACAAACATCATTGTCTTTTATTGTTCCCGCTGAAAACTTTAATTACATATATACTATTTTTATAATAACCATAGTGTCCGGGCCAGCTTGCGCGCACCTCGACTAATTCCACGGGATACCTGTCACCTCCCACCAGCAACAGGTACCAGGCAACTCTATCCATCAAGGCTTGGATAGATGGGAAGAAATCACCTAGTATTTTATTGCCTCCGCTGGGATTTGAACCTGAGACCTCATAGGTCTCACCCACTTCATTGACCACTAGGCCACACCCTTGGGTGCCATATATACTTTTTTATCATTAAAAGATAAACTGTAACCTTTTATTACATATTATGCCTTATAAAGCATAATGGAAGACAAGAGCCTCTTGCAGAGCTGCATGTTTTGGTTGGACAGCTTACATGAAGCATGTCTAACCCAAGATAATTTGCAAAGAAGTGCATTTAATGTATGCAACAGGTGCTACATGTGAAGCCCAAGCTGAATCCCTGTCACATACTTTTGCATTGTTCTTATGATTGGCAGATCTGGATGTTCCTTAACGTATTTGGAGTGAAATAGGCCTTAGCGTCTTTGAAGGTTGTCATGGAAAGCTAGAGGGGGCAAAGAACTAGGAAGCTGATCAAATACATATGGAACACCGTTTCCACTGAGTATTTTTGGCGTCTATGGAAAGAGAGGTGTAGCACATGTTTTGAGAGCATATACATAGTTTGACTTATGTAAAATTTAGAGCATTACATCTTTTTGTTTTCTTGGTGTAAAGTGAAACAGTATCATGATGTACATATTTTTCTGGACTTCTTGGAATCCTGAAAATATCTACAGGAAACAAAGTCCTATTTTGTTGTAATGGCGCCTTCTTGGTACAATCAATGGTATTACTTTACACAAAAAACTTTTATTTCATATTAAAAGCAGCAGGTTGAGGGAGTTAAGTCTCTAAAAGTAGATTCTCTAATAAGAAAATAACAATACTTTTCCGTTTTCCTCAATAGAAATTACTTTAGAGATGGACGAAGATTCAATCATTTAATAGCAGCAGTTTATCAAAACATGGAGATAAATATCATATAGCGTGTAAAACTACATGTATGTGACAAGCTCAGTTTGGTTTTGGTTCTTAACACTATGCACAACACTCAAGTAGATACTCAAAACTAGCAGCTTAGCTTAAACCAATGATCCATATGTTTACGCCAATCAAAGAACTTCAAATATTTGAACACTAGTGACCACTAAAATAAGAAGTTGAACCCTGATCATTTTCATAGACTCACAAGGATCTAAGTGGAACAAGCAAGTCCATCATGGAATTACCAAACAACAATAATAACTAAGCCTCAGTCACAAACAAGTTAGAATCGACTATAGAATGAAAAAATAGAAATATGATATCTTACTTGATATGAGTGCCTTAGGTCTGGTTTTAAAAAGAATCTTTTGACGAATTATTCCAATAACGTCCAATTCCACCCTTGATGAACTAATGTCACCCTTCTTTTCCTCGGAGTCAAGTTTGATTTTCTTCAATACTAACATTGGCTTTTTCAAGGGCACCTTGGTCCCAGCCAACTCATGGTACCCAACAGTAAATGTATAACTTTCCTGAAAAATAGGAGCCACAAAATGAAAATTGAGATTCCTAAAATTTCACAATAGAGTAATTTGATAGGAAGTGAAAAACCTGGGAAGAGGGGCGGCAAAGAATGCCAATTTGGAGATTTTGGAGGCGATCTTTGAAGGAGGGTTGGGCTTCAACCACACCTTGAAGTTCCAGAATTGCCCATTCGGGACATTTCTCCTCCCCGCAGCTGCATTTTACCTGAATCTGCATTTACGATTCACTGCAACTAGATATGCGCTAGAGATTTTGCCCTCTTTGAGTTGGGTCCAATCCAAGGGCTTTTCGGCTTTTTACCTTTGAGGCGAGCGCAGGAAAGTGGGACTCTTTTTGGCGGCAAAGATTGAGCCACACAAACAAACGATGTCGTCTTTAGAGAAAAATAAAATACTATTAAGTTTTTTCCGTCCTTTTTGGGCTATGTCAGGACCTATGTTAAATCATACATGTTCGGGTTTTTTTTCAAGGAGAAATGAGGAAAGGGATTACACCGTGAGAGAGCGAACCTGCACCACCAACTTAACTACTAAGATTCAGATTACAAATGCATTTCCAATGTGAGACATATGCTTACAACCGATGATCCAAGCCCAAAGTAGAAAGAGTATGGGTGTTATACGAACATGGAAGGACAAAGATGTGAGCAAGTGAGACAAATTGAGCAGCAGCTCCACCAACTTCAATTGGTAGAGGCTGATTTAAATTTTAAGCTTTATAAATTCTAGTTCAAAATTTTATCATAGCTCATTTAACTTACTGAATTTGAATTTAACAAATTTTTTTACAGGTCTAAGCTTGTATACAGTCGAAATCGAGCTCGCTTACGACATAGTAGGTTAGGCTCGAAACATGACAACCAAGGGCTGAAGATCGACCTCCAATCCCATCGAGCTAGAATCCGGGGTCAGAACACTGCCTTCGAGAACATTGAGTCTGAGACACCAGAGTCGACCCTAGCCCCGAACGAGCTCGAAGAAACATTGTTAGCATAACCAACGGAAGACCGAAATATCAGTGACCGGTCAAATATTGCGGCAAAAATCTCGGCGCGTATCAATAGGGAACCGGCAATCAGCTAATCAAGGGATTTTTACCTTTTATAGAATTGTACCTAAAGTAGGACTCATCTACTATATAAAGGGGGTTTGTTAATTCATTGAACGCATTGTAACGCGCATCCCAAAGCAATATATCATTATTATTTAAGCTCTTGTTCTTCTGTATTCTTACATCGATTGAAGCGTACCTGGCTCGAGGGTGATTAACCTCACAAGGCTAAGATTGTTCAATTCTTGTGGTTTGCATTTACTTTATCATTATTTACTTCAATCGCAATCTAATTTATTGTTTTGTGTCAAGTTAATCCACGTATCCTTAAAATCACTTACAAATTCAATTTTTATCCGATTTTGAGGGTAAGCTGGCGCCCACCGTGAGGCTAAGGATAATAGTGGTTATTTGATACAAATCTCCATAACACACACTACTTTACACTTGTTCTTTGAAGTGTCTCTAATTGCTGGTTAAAACTCGAAATGTCGAATTCTCAATCAGCACCCCTACATGTTGACAATGAGTCCGGTTATCACGGTGAAAATAACAACATAGCGTCCGGTGACGAGGTACCGCCCGTTGATCCCATAGAAATTCCGGTCGCGGGCCTGATTGACGCTAATTCACATGTGGCTATCGAGGCAAACTTGCCTACCGACCCCGAGAATAGCGTCAGTGGTGGAGCCCGATAGGCAACTCAAAATACACAAAATATTGGAGGAGACGTAATCAGTTTACGGGTGATCTTCGAAATGATGCAGGCTCAACATGCGGCGATAGCTCAGTTACAGAACCAAAGCCGTGCACCGAGCAGAGTTGAACCCGATCCACCCCGGAAAGTCACCTGCGGGGATAAACCGGTCACAGAAAGGTCAAATGAAAACGAATCGGGGGCTAACCCCAAGATCATAATAGTCACGACCCCAAATTCCCTCCGTAGGATGGCGTGATGGCACCTAGTCTCTAAGACTAGGTAAGCCTATCAATGCGGAATAACGTAATAGAAATATGAAATAAATAAAACTGCAACTCAAATAATTTCAACTCCATAAATCCGGTAGAAATAAGTCACAAGCTTCTAAGAATTTATTCTAAGTGTCTCTATACATCAGAGTCTAAAGAGAATAAGGAAAACAACATAATAAAGATAGAAGGGGACTCCGAGGTCTACGGACGCTGGAAGATATACCTTGAAGTCTCCGCGTGCGGCTAGTTCACTGATGTCTGGTCTGATAGGGAGTACCTAGATCTACACAAAACGATGTGCAGAAGCGTAGTATGAGTACACCACAGCGGTACTCAGTAAGTGTCAAGCCTAACCTCCATAGAGTAGTGACGAGGTCAGGTCAGGCCCTACTGGAATAATAAAAGACATGGTGAAAAGTTTA